CCCCCCCCCCCCCCCCCCGCGAAGGTTATTTATCCACACGATTGACCATTGGATCCAATTTGAAACCTGTTTGATATCCAGAGTTAGGGTTGAAAAGTAAATGCGCTGAGTCTAGTTATCTCTCCTTTTAATTACTTTTCTATCTGTTGGGGAATGGAAATATTGGCTATGGTGCATACGCGCTTGGACGTCAAGATGAGGCTTTGTTCGGTATCTGTGCTTTAAAGCATCTAAGGCCTCTCCAACTACCTCGCCCCTTATGAAAAATAGTTTTTTAACCCCACTGTTAACGAGTCACTCATCCTGGGCATCGAAGGTTGGCGAATGGTTTGAATGGAGAATGCTCAGATCCTCAAAACAAGCGAGAAAGATCTGGGTGAAAATTTTGCAAATAACAAATTCTGCTGAGGTTTTATTAGTGAATACGATTATTAATGACAATATTGATTGTTGTTGATTTAATGGTCATAACGCCAGGCCAACTTGAACGGGAACCAACCAGAATTAGACTGGGGTCCCCTCAAATGGATACATCAAGATTTAATTCCCTTATGGACTAGGCTATGCTAGTTTAAGAGTACATTAGATCGTGTTGATAAGTGCAGCCTCGCCACAGTTTGTACCACTCCTTCTGGTAGTGCTCTCTTGGGGAGAGAATGAGTTTTAGTAAGCCCGATTTCCACGGGTTCCTTACAATTACCATCCACCGGTGATGATTGGTTCAAATGCAATTAGGAGGACTAGGACATTTTGGGGATTTGATATCGGAACAGGTTAAGTTATATCACTCATCCTTATATTCCTCTGGTGGGGGGGGGGGGGGGGGAGAGGCGGAGGGGGAGAGTATTTGATTTGTCTAGTGATTAAGCCGCCATCACATCAGAAATGAGAGTCTCTTTTGCAGGGTATTCGAGCGATTCGTTGATTTTATGCATTCAGTGACAGAAGAAATGATGAAACCTCAAGAGAAACTCAGTCACAATTTGTGGAGAGAGAATATTTATTGCAAGATTTGATTAACCGGATGTTTCTAGATAAACAGAAAAAAAGTTTTTCACTTTATCATTGTAAGACCGTTAGAGATGGTAAATACCATGTGATCTCCGCTGATTCCAAAGCTCCGTTATAACACGCAGGTGCCTAAAAGGAGGCTATAGTCTAAAAGTGGGAAAGCTAACCACCTTCCAGTTTAGTACATTTTAGCAATTATGCAGAATTTATGAACAATTAATAATAAATTATTCATTGTATTTTTCTTGGATAAAGCCATTCAATTTATATTACGCAATTAAATGCAAAATTAACCTCTGAATTAGAAGAAAGTACATTAAACAGGAGGAGATGCGATTTAATACTCACTAACACTGCCAGGATTTATTAATTATAGCAAAACTACAGCATGAGCTCCGAGAATCAGATGAAGAGGTCCTCTTCAGGAGTTTGGAAACTCTGGTTGATGGCTTAGTAAACTCCAATGTGACTCAAGATCGACGCAATGAGCTCATGAATATATCCTTGGCAAGTTTCCTTTGCTTGGCTCTAACTCTGCAACATGACGACGATTCTGTGACAACATTCGCAGGTCGGGCAGTCTGTGCCTTGGAAGAATTGGTAAGGAGATTTCTTCGTCACGTTTTTTGTCACCATGTTATTATTATGCCGACGAGAGTGAATAATTCAACTATTAAGGTCTGCTGAATGAAATATGAACTGTACAGAGCCATAATTAAAACCAATACTTAATAGAATAGTCTAAGTAACCATCATCTCGAACTTTTTAAATGGTCTTAGCAACATGAGCATTAAGATAATCAGTTCTTTTAGCAATAATCGATACTTAATTTAACTGTTTTCAAGTCACTAGCATTGCTGTATCGATTGAAGTGCAATCTTCTTTCGTGTTTTGTGATGTCTGTTATCGTGGGTGTTCACCAGTTTTCACATAACAACCTTAACTAAAGCCTGAGTTTGACCCTTTCCTTAGCTCTTAGCAATTCATCGAGTTCGCCTGTGATCTGGCATTTATCCTTTGAGCTTTAGTCCATACATCGCGAAATTTTATTGTTTTGAGGCCAAAAACTGTTTGCACCCTGCCTGCCCAGCTAATTTTACGCAATTGGAAAGGAGACTAGATTTTTCATAATATTTTTTGTAAATCTGCAATTTATCCGTAAGCACATTTAGATTACCGTTATAGATGATATTCTAGCAATTTCACCATTCGACCATGTTTTTCCACTATTGACAAAATTCGCAATATTCACATTACCTGCTTAAACTGATTTGCTTTACTGAAATGATGACTAAGATTATGAAGGGAGCGTTGATCGCGTTGACTGTTGTCACAGTAACTAGAGACGTTAATTAGTGTAACTACTCCTGTAGCCGATTAAATCGAAAGCGCTACTCTTGAGGAACATGAATGAACGCTTTAACCCCCAATCTCTCCTCTACTTTTGCGCAGTTGACCTAAACTTGAGAATTCACTTGCGCATTGATGTGCGTGCGTGTGTGTGCCAATACGCAAATTTTATTGGCACCAGAAACCGATAAAAGTCTATCTGTAATTTCTTTCTACCTATTCCCTGTCATTTCCACCTGAGGCAGGTGGATCGTTAATTTGATGAAAAGGACTCATGCATAGCTCGGTTTCAACTGAAAAAGTCAGAATAAAAAGCGAATTAATAAACTGTCTCTTCAGATCTTCAATTCTTTTTCACTCTAAGGTGTTGAATAGAAGACGACATTTTTGAATAAAAAAACCTTAATTTTATATTAATTGATAATTTTGAGGGTGGTTAGTAATTTCAATTAACATGTAAAGCGATTTTAAAATAAATATATAGCGGATTGCTGCGCTAGTAAAGCCTGACCGACTCAGAAATCTCTATGGCAGATTCTCCAACATCTAGCTAGACTCCCAGAACAAGCTAAGTTATAGCCCAGCTATAAAGGAAACAGACGTGTAGTACGGAATACGTTTATTCAGTACGTATATTGATAGCGAATTTTGATTTCGGCAAAACGATTAGTTATCAGATAAATCTAGCATAATTCGGGTGAATATTAATAGCTGAATATCTCTGAGTAGTGTTCTGTAGCAGAATTTCTATTGGTCATTGGCTGTGCTTCTTCGCAACCAATCTGTGTGCGAGGTTGCACGCCGCACCTTAAGCCTAGTGTGCGCGCCCGTGATGAAGTGTCCCACAAATATTTATATCATCAGTTGAAAATGCCCATTATATCTTTCTAACTTCCCATTTCGTCTTCATATTTGTAATAAAGCACAAATCAATATTACTCAACCTTATGCATTGACAAATCAATAAAGAAAAAAATTGATTAAGCTAATGATGATGGGCAGCTTGAATACGAATTGGGGAATTTGATTGGTCCTTTGCATTTTCGGCCGATGTTATGTGAATGGTAACTTGATTTGGAGGAATCGAAACACATTCTTAAATGAGAGGCGGATTATTTGAGCAGCTATCTTCTAAATATTAGTCGAAGTGTTTGGAACTTTCTTTAAATCCCATGAAATTCAATTAAATTGTATGGATTTATATACACGTTCATCCGCTACCATGGTCTTGATTATGATGCAAGAAATATTTTTACTGCTTATTACAATTAGAAATTATATATATATATACCCCACATTTTCCTATTTTTGTGATCATTGCAAGGAATCGTTAAAATGTGCTTTGAAATTAACCATATTTCTTTGTTAAAACCTATCAAGCATTTCTCCATCCAAAATGTGAACCAACTTATTTGAGAAAGAAAAGAATTACATTTTCATTCCAATTACAATGTTAATGCAATTAGTTAGTCAATAAAATCAACCCAATAATATGTTTTTATTATTGCATTCTACCACTACACAGATGTACTTAATTAAAGTCGTATAATATGTGCTGTAAGTGAAAAAAATAATTGCCGCTACTGTAAATTAATAGTTATTTAAGCATCAATCATACTACTGAACTCCCTTCAATTTGTATTGCAATATTAGATGCATATTTAATCATTTTGTACTGGTGGTGACTAAGAATTAGCAAGTAGTTAATATTTTCATTATTTGCCCGTGGCAAAACAACAAGTTTACGAGTTTCAATTGTTGATATGAGCAATGCTAAACTCAATCAATGAATCATGTAACAAGGTTGCGATCAAAGACAAATTGGATAATAAAGCCCGAAATTCATTTATCTTGCTTCGTTTTACATCAGAAGCATAGAGAAATACGTGCTGTCAAATGGGAAAAGTTCTCTTTCTGATGTCATAAAGTGCAATCGGTATAATATACCCCCTATATTCACACATACGATAGTTTGACCTCTATACACACTGGTTACCGTTATTTCCCTTGACACCTTAAATTATTAAATTTAAAGTTAACATTAAATCAAACACTTCTAAATGCCACTGTTCGGTGGCGGATAGGTATATAGTACACTTTAGAGGGATGTATAATTAAAGAAATTCTGGATAAGTAGACAGAAATTACTTATTTCATCCACATGATTGCCTATAGCACATTTTATGGACAAAACTTTTGTACTTTTTGCACTTTTTCATATTTTCAACAAATGTGACAAGTTGATTGTAGAAATGATTTTGAAAGTGACTGTTTTAATCTTGAATCTTATAAGACTTTTAATTGTCTGCATTACACTTCTGTTAAAGCTGATCTCATCTCTGAGCGTTTCACCTAATTCAAATTAAAAGTCCCTTTTGTTACTGAGTCTTCGAAGTGAGCTATGTTTGATAATATACAAAGTCATTAATAGAAACATCATACCATATTTGTTTCAGTTGGAAGATTTTTTTCCTATGAGTCAACTCGCTCTACACCTGGTGTGGAGTGTTTCAGTAAGATGTTGTGAGAATTCAGCGCACAAATAGGATATTTTTATACCATTTCAACAGCAAATAAAAAAACTAATATAATTTTGAAGATTTAATCTGATTTAGCTTTTAAAAAAACGACTGACTTATTCATCTCAAAGACCTACATGCTAGACCTTCAACCTGTTTATTGAATGCGAAATAGTGATTTACCATCTCCTTTTTTTCATACAGGAGCCTTAATAATCGATTATGTTCGGAAGAAGGAAAGAGCGCTAAATACTTTCTTAAACCTTCACAGTAATATAGCACTAACTGAAACTAATTGATAAAATTAAGATTAAAGTCAAATATATCTCTGCTAGCCTCCGGTGCGTCCAATTAGCTGTGTAATATCGCAGAAACTCAGATGACAGGATCAATCAATGACTTAATTCAATTAGTCAATAGGACATGAATACAGTGGCCATTGTCATTAATGTGGGAATTCCTTCCTCCCATTCCAAAAATATGCAAATATCCATTCTTCTAAATTTAGCAAAAATCAAGGCTCTTGATATTCTTACCTAATTATCTGCTTAAAATAACCTCCCCCCCTCCACAAAGTGTCAGATCTCATGGGGCTTGTTTGTATATACATGGACTATTAAGATTCTGCCCACTACAAATTAAGAAAATTGACTTTCATCCGATACACTTGGCAATTCCAGAAATTTCAAGTCAGCCCACCTGAGCTGTTCAGAGAGATGCTAATGTACGATTTTCTTCCATTCAATGTCTCGAGGTTGGGATGTTAGTGGTCAAAACTGAACTCATCTCTCTTAGGCGGGGTATTTAAAATGTAGTACACGGAATGAAGGAATTTACGTTTACGTGCGTAGAATTGATAAAGGAGTAAAGAATGCCGCACGCCACATCTTCATGCTATACAGATCGAATGCTTGAGGTCTCAGAAAGCACACATGCACATTCTAACACCGAAGGAGTCCAATGAAGTACACCTTTTCCGTAGTTAAGATTTCACATTTTCAAAGGGTTTGTTGGTGGTTTAATTTTAAGCCGACTACTGTGCAAATATTGATATATTAGGGTTGCCTTTTTTGCGTCTTTAAGTGGAGATAAATTTCAGATAGGTGTAAGTTACGATATTTGTTCCCTCCCCTTCACACATCCCACCCAAAAGAGTCGAAGTATTTAATATTTAAAATTATTATTATTATTACACATTTTGATGTTAAACGTCTTACTTTATCGGAAATTCAAAGCCTTTAATGTGTTTTACGCTTGCATTGTTCAAATTTGTTACGTCAGTTGATTTAGTTGAAATTTAAAGTCATGCCTTGTAAATCAATGCATCGCCTCTTCAAACAAACCTTAGATCAAGTTTTAATGTCATATTATCGCGGAAATGCTGTTTTTAACCATTTTATGAGAAAGTATTTTAAGGTAGGCTTACAAATAAGTAGTATTTAGACGCATCAGCTGATAATTTTACAAAATACTAATTTAGTAATAAATTATGGTCATTTTAAATCAACTGATTCGCGTTATGTCAGCTCCTTTTCATCATAATTAGTTTTCCATCGTCATTCACAGTCACACTACCGCTGCGATACGTAAGTCAGAGTCACCTACTATAATTGACCCTTTTCAGACAATTTAATGTCGAGAGAGCGTAGGCATGTTTCTGCATATGGCACTTTAATCATTATGATGAGCGAGACAGAATTCGTTATGCAAATTTAGCCCATCGGCTGGTCTTATTTTAGGTTGGCACTAACCTACAAATACAAATTTGTATAAAATGCCATAAATTGAAATAAAATTTAAATTTGCACATCCTGGCTTTTCTATGTGCTTCTTTTAGAGACAAGCACCTTTCAATTCATTTATTAAGATCTGGAAAGCATTAGTCTGGGTTGTGATTGATGTCATTTACTTTCAAGACATTGATTCGAGATGGGCTGTCTTAGTGTTTTGTAGATACCAACGAGCCAAGTGCACTGAATATCGAGTTTCCTGAACACGTTTTAAATTTATTTGTTACACTCTAAACACATATTTCAAAATAAGTTCATCTCATTTTGGTGGCAGAAAAAGTGGTTTGATGAATACTGCACAACTGTAACAAACTGCCTAATGAAGAACGTCTACTTTAAATGATAATTCCCTAGTAGTTACAGAAAATGTGAACAGTTGAAATGAATAGTATATCTAAGCTTCGTATACCTTTCATTATTTCTTCACCTGGTAATTTTGTAGCACCGATTTGGTAGATCACTTACTTGTCTCCTTTATATTTCAGACCCATTCAGCTTACGGTGTGATACTTCAATCTAACCAACTTCCATTCCTCAGGACTGCCGGGCCATGTTGCTCATTCCTCAGGAGTCTAACCATGTTTAACCAAAAAATAAGATCAGGAACTGCTCGAAATCAGTCTAGAGTGGGATATTCCGAATACGTCCAAAGAAATTCATCCTCCGCTGTTGGTAGATATAGTCTACTCTCTCCCGTTGGGAGCACAATACTTTGGATAATGCAATTTTATGGTATGGAGGAGTATAGAGTAGCTGCGTTAGCTGCTTGGGAGTGTATATCAGCACCTACAGAAGCAAGTATTGGTCGATCTTCATCAGCTTACAGAGGGTCTGCGTCTCGCAATACACGAGGAGGACACTGGGGGCCAAATGATGATCAAGGACCCATTCAAGCCGAGGTGTGGAGAATGAATTTATCCGATGACAGTGCAGAGGTACGTCGGATGGCCTTGAGAATCCTTCAAGCTCACAAAAAATTCCGGAGCACAGCCTGCTGTCTAGATGTTCCACCATAAACAAATGTTATGACTTTTCTATGATGGATTTATTCTCAAAAACTATTTTATATGTTCTTTTTGTTCTATTGAATGGCAAAACTAGACGAATATTCAGCTCAATTCTTTCGAGTATGTTTCTCTATCTATTATATATAAACGAAGAAAGTTTCAGTGAAGAATTTGGTTTCGTGTAAATGAGTATCTACCAAATGGTGTGCAAGACAATTTGACAAATCTAAATATATGTACTACTATTAAATTATGAGTAGACGCTCAGAAATGTTAGCAGATAAGAAGGTGAACTCCGCTCAGTATTACTTTGCTCCTATTTCAGCAACATGAAGTACTATTCTAATACCATAGCTTAACAAAGCAACCGTTTTTTCTAATATTTAGTGCTGCTGGAGGCATGCTTTAATGTAAGCTGGCTCTATGAACTGCAGGGTCACAAACCTCTCCAGTGCTTTTAGGCTATTAAAAATGCAGAATAAGCGATAAAGTAAATGAATACATTCTACTTAGTTATTGGATCTGTAGCGTGGGCGGTTAATGAGGGGATGGAAGTGAGGGGTTGAGGAGATGGGAGTTTGATGATAAGAAGATAGAAGCCGATCTAATCATCATTACTGTAATCATTAATAATAAAAATTTTAAGAATAATTCTGGAATTGGATATTCTTAAACGTACCAAATCGTAACCCAACAAAGGGTTTTACTACTATTGTGAAAGGTTGTGAGTTCGAGTTCTTGCCATAAAATTCATCCTTACTCGAATATATATATTTCACAATTATTCGAATGTGGGGTGAGGAGTTATGTGATCTCCGTTCACTTTGTTGTAAAAAAGTAGATTAAGATTTGTAAGTACTCCTTTGATGTCCGGTTTTACGTCAGATTTCAAATTTCTTTGAATATGTATTGGCTTTCATTAATTTATTTCTAAAGCATATAAATTAATAAAGTATTAAAACTGCTTTAAATAAAAACAATAATTTAACGATGCGTAGTGCATATAATGCATTCAATTATTTGACTATTCGCTTGTTAAACATATTTTCTAAGTCCATGTAGAAAAATCAATAACCACGATATTTAAAAATTTGTCGCATGTTACGCGTTGCAGAAGACACGCATACCCCACTGTGAAGGAAAACAGTAAAACATGCCGAAATCTCCAAAGAAATCCAAAGGTTCCTCAAAGGACTCCAAAAAGAGTTCTAATAAATCCAAAAAGTCCCCTAAATCCTCGAAATCCCCTAAATCCTCAAAGTCATCAAAATCTCCAAAGTCGGCAAAATCTCCAAAGCAGGTAGAACCTATTGAAGAACCAGAAATCATAGTACCTGTGCCCGATGGAATAATGCACAAACGAATGCGATTCCTTCTTGAGGCCACATTGAAAACAGATGTTGATTTCATAGTAGGACCGGATGGTGGTGAAACATCGATCAAAGCGCACAAGTGCATTCTCTCTGCTGAAAGTCCTATCTTTGAAAAATTATTTGCTGATTGTCAGGAATGGAAAGATGCCCAGTTAAAGAAACAAGAGCAAGAAATTCTGGAAATTCGACAAAGAGAAGCTGAAGTAGAGATGGAATTAGCCAAAAAGGCAGAGTTAAGAAACATTGAAGGCTCAAGTGAAAGAGGCAGAAAACGATCTAAAGAAGAAGGAAGGAAGAAAAGGGGTAGCAAAGATAAGTCCGGATCCTCTTCATCAAAACGAGACGGTTCCAGTAAATCCAAATCTTCAAAAAAGAAGAAGAAGGAGAAAAGTGAGAAAAGTGAAAAAAGTGAAAAAAGTGGAAAGAGTGGGAAAAGTGGAAAAAGTGGAAAAAGTCGATCAAAGTCTGGTGGAAAGAAGTCGGGTTCAAAGGACTCTAAAAGTTCGAAATCTAAGCGATCTAAAAAGAGTAGTGATAAGGATAACCAAGAACGTCGACCGATTACGGACATTAGCTTTTTTCGAGATGAAGTTATTGGACCGGATCAAATCCGTGTTCGAGATGTTCATCCACAAGGGTTTTTCCAACTTTTGAGGTAATTAGTTCATACTAAAAGAGCTCACAGATTAGAAGATCTTATAAGTCAGCTAATGAAACGTTCTCACTGGATGCGTCATTAGCGCAATATTTCAACCGAGTACTTAAATAAGCTAAGCTGACTGACAAAAATGGCTTTTTAACAGAGCGATTGATAATCTAATTGTTATTTCGAATTTTATGCTTTGATTAATATTGTATTAGAGTGAAAATAAAGCAATAGATGCAACTTCAATTTATTGCGCAAAAAGTTGAAACAAATTGATCCTCTTTCATATGTGCCTAGTATTATCTATTTATCAAGCCTAATATTCTGTTTTTGAATTCAAAAATAGTTAGCCTAGGCACTTTCCCGCTTGTAAAGTGAAAATAATGTTGATTCCACTGCCAACTTGTTGATTTTTCTATTCCATGAATCATGCTGAGGTGTTTGGACGGGATTAGGGAATGCATTTTTATGAACTTAACCGAATTATAAAGACTTAGAATGCCATTTGTGAAGAAATAGATCTAAACGCCTTTTTAAACTGTTGAGTATAAATCGTTAAGTAATAAATATATTAATTAACCTTTTGAACTTTGCCTTTGTAATTTCTTTGTACTTTTTAAAGAAAGTTATTGATATAAAAGTTAATATTTTGTTTAACGAACAGTATTTTAAACTATTTGGTTGATCGTAGGATATAGCGAAACAGCTTATTTGGTTAAAAAGCGAAGAATATATGAAAAATACCAGCAGCCAAAATTAAGACAAAACCACGAATAAATAAGGGGGAGTGACGTTCGTAATAAAACAAGTCTAGTATAAATAAATTTGGTTTTTTATTATGGTTTAATTATTGTTTTATAAAATTTCAGATATATCTACTATGATGAAATGGCATTCAAAGGCGTCACTGGCACCATTCAAACTCTCTACGCTGCAAGAAAGTACTGCTTCTATGACCTCGCTAGAGCATGTGTCAACTACCTTGAGAACAATGTTTGTATTGAGCATATTTTTGCCCTTCTTCAAACCGCAATTGATTTCCATGAGGATAGATTGTTAAATCTCTGCATGCGATTGGTAATAAACAACACGTCAGAAGTGGTAAGTAGAGAGGACTTTAAGAACGTGAAGAAGGAGATAGTTGTAATGATATTAGAGCAGGATGTGTTGAATGTCAAAGAGCTTGATCTATTTGATCGGATTATGGAATGGGCTGCCTGCGAATGTGTTCGACTAAAAATTACAACTGCACCAATGAATCAGAGATATGCACTAGGAAATCATAACTTCGTTCTTATTCGATTTCCAGCTATGGATGGAAAAGAATTCGTAAAGCGAGTTATCGACAGCGGAGTCCTAAGGATGGACGAGATAATACCAATTCTAAAGTATTTTATAACAGGTAAGTGACAATAATTCTCAGATTGTATATATTAAATGGTTAGTTTGGTTTCCATTTACACATTAGTGGAACGGTCAAATTTAAAAGCCACATAGTTTAATACTGATTTCATTTGAACCTGATTTTATATTCACTTGTTCAAATAGACACGATCTTTAGACACAGTCTTAACACAAGAACTTATCTCTTTATTTTTCTGAAATTCAATTTTCTATTTGGAAATAAATTTTCAACAGTCCTTATGATGCGTGTTGGCATTAGTTAACAAATTAAAAAGGATAAAACAGAGTAAAGTTAGACAATAAATATGTTAAAATTTTGAAAAAAACACTAAATTTAATTGCATGAAATTTGCTTAATTTGGTTGATTAAACACAATGCCGTTTTATAGGCAAGAGTTAGACAAAGGATTTGCACAGATGATTAGTGATCAAATGCATTTAACATAACTAGAATAAAATTCTATCTCTGATTGGCTGAGAAGACCCCCAAAAGCACGGCCGCACCCAGCAGAAAATTTAATTTTCTTAAAACTGATTTTGGAAAAAAATATTTATGCGTTTATTTCCCTCAAACTAAATACTTTAATAAGTACGGTGACCATAATATTACCTATCGCCGTTAGTTTATAGTTAAATTTAAGTGAGTTGAAAAAATGTAACTTATAACTCGGTTTTGCGGCTATAAAATATTCTTTCGACTATTTTTCATAAAACCATGTCCAAATATTTTGACATAATATGTCATCCGAGAGTGCTCTTCCATTTCATATGTCAAAAATGCAGACATTTGCAAAAAAGTTAAAAATTGAAAAATTTCTAACAATTTAAATTCAGGCCAAAAGAATGTTTTCGCAACTGGGTAAAGTGCAAAAATAAAAGTTGGGGTAATAGAAGACAATTATGAAAGGAGAAAGGGGGGGGGTTGTGATTCAAGAAGGCTTTGAATTCAGAGTATCAACTGTCTTGTAATAATTGAATTCAATATTTAGTCTTCAATAAAATTTTAAGTAAATTGACTCATCAGTGATTAAACACAGTATTTAATGTCCGCTGTGCAGTTGGGTGGCCGAGCTATCTCAATATATTGAGGCTTTCTTTTATTTCCAACCGCGACCTTAAAACATAAAGATAACCAATGGCGTTCTTTCAAAATGATATCCATCTACATTTTTCGTATAAAAAGTACACTTGTATCCACACATCACAATGCTACGTATTTAAATATTATTTGTGCCTTTTAATGGTTAGATCAGTCTATTCAGTTTCTGCAAAATTTCATAGTTAATGAAAATACCCTTTATTTTCAATTGACAATGTGTGCTCAAGGAAGATACCTATACCTGTATCAATATGTCTTAGCACCAGGTATTTTGAATTCAAAAGCTAAGATGGCATTGTCGTTAAATGAAAATTCGTGCGAATTTCAAAAACAATTAACCAATTAACCCTATTAAAATGAAAAACATCGAAGTCTCTTAAAAGTTTTTGTGATATTTATTTATTTACATCAAATAGCAGACGTTTTTATAGTTATCATTAGCCCTTTAGTTGATTTCAGGCTTCGCAGATTAGAAGGAACATCAAAGTGAAAAAAGTCGAGAATGTTGGGGGAACGGAAGAGTGTTCCACGGATGCGAAAGAGACAGACACAAAGGTAGAAAAAAGGTAGGATGAGTACTGTGGTGGAATATGACTTACAGTGGGGTGATGGTAGATTGAAGTCAGAAGTCAACTGCCGGTTAATAGACCTTTTTCCTTACAAGCATACGTTGCCCAGGGTGCACCACATAGAGAAAAGTCTATCGCTTACCCTTTTTTGTGATATAATCACAATTGAATAAACATCTCTTTTTACAAATCTAAATAAGTCTGGTGTCTATGACCTCAGACATTTCTTTGCCTAAATTTGAATTCTCCGAGATTCGACATGTCATGCAATAAATTAATGCAGGCTACTCTCTTATTCTTATAAAGGAAGATTTAATTTTCAAATTAATTCAATCTAGGGGTACGATTTGGACATCTAGTAGATAAAAAATATATATGTACGTTTTTTAAAAAAATGAATGGGGTAATTTAAAATAAAATAAATGAAGTAGTTTAGCGTATTACAATAAATATTAATCACTATTTATATTCACTAAAATTAATAAGACATAATAGTGCAAAATTATTTTTTCACCAAATTCAAGAAAAAATCTGAATTTTTTCATTGCACTGAAAATATTTAATAAAAAGACCAAGGTTTTGATAAGTTTACTTCTATGATGTAATTAAGTGGGTTAAGCTTTGAGCTTTCAATAGCATACTCAGAATGGTAAGTTTCTGTTTCCTGGATAAATGCATTATTCCGCTTCCAGATCCTCATTATCTATAGATGAGTGGAAATTGTTGGTTAGTCACTTCAAGGAAAGTTTTATTTTAATTGACAAGAAAGAGGTAAGTTATATTGGGGAAATGAGTTTTTTAAACTTATTAAAACCCACTAAATATCATTCAAATGAATAGCATCAGGTTAATATAATCATTTCTTTGAAGGCATCATTAATCAACTTTAGGTGAAAGACCAAATCTGCCTTACCCTTGCCTGTCAAGACGACTCCCTTGTTTGGAAATCGATCCGCTCGACTCGGCAAGCATAGCCTCCAGCGAAATAACTTTCATCGGTGATTATCGATTATTCCGATTCAACAGTTTCGGAAACATCGCGGTACAAGGTGATGAGTGTCCACCTGAACAATGCGGCTTAATATCAGAATGCAAGCGCTCATATTCTCCACCGCCTCGTTTCAATGTGGAATTAGATGAATTTGAGAAAATTGAAGATAATATACGCCAGTTGAAACGTATAGCCATTGATGAAGCTCATTTTCAGTGGAACAAGATGCATAAAGCAAATATGAATACTCATTACCGTTAAAGCCAGTTATTCTGTTTTATCTTTAAAATAGTAAAATGAATTAGAAAATCTGAATTGTTTTTAAGTATCATATCTTGCCAATTTAAGTCAAGAATATTTGATAATGAACAATCAACATTCCACCTATATAAGTTCAGAGTTGCTTAGTCACCATGAATTTGATTGGCTGCTGAGGAGATTTAGTCGGAAGAAGAAGTATAAATTTATTTTATCCCAGCAAAGATATTAAGAACACCATCATTTTCCTCTGCATATATAGAAGCTTAGGTTAGAGGTTCTTGATCCTCTTCCGCGATAAACAGTGACACAGCAGTAGGGAGAGAGTTCATTTGTGGGGGGAGAGAAGATGAAAACAGTGAATAAACAATCTATTAGCTCAAGATGTTTATAGAAAATACAACTTTGTTCAAACCTGTCAAACATTATGGCCATAGTAAGTTAACAGCACTAGCTATTTTCGTAAAAGTTGTTGTAAGACCTATTTCAACTCCTTTATGATAAGTTCATAAAATTTTCTTTATACTATGTAAGAGACTTGAATTAAAGTTTTATATCCGGTCATTATTATCAATCAATCGGTCAATATTTACTGAATACCTGCTTAATAGATTCCTAACAATCTGAGCCCTAGAAAATTAAATGAGGTATGACGTCACTCTCAACATCGTTTGGCCTCCCCACTTACTATTCATTAACCTTAATGTAAGTCGATTTCATTTGCTTTCCATTGCTGAAGATGACAAAAAATTATTTATTTAAAATGTTTTTGACAATGGCAGTAATTATAATGGTCGTTACCTTCTAGTTCAAAAAACAGCATTTTCGCCTTGAAAATTCAAATTTATTACCGGTATCCATTTACGAAGAAGGAGCGAATTTAAATTTAAGGAACACTTTGAAGTCAAGTTTGAGTAAATCATGATTTAAATAATAGTTTATTAGACTTGGACTTAACTGGGACTTTGAACATTCTCATATTACTGACGTAATGTGAAACAATACATTACTAAAATATATTTTCTATAAAACGCTCAAACGCTTGCCATGCAAATACTAATTTATAATTTTTTAAAATATTGTCACAATTTCGTTCAACTTTTACCCCATAGACAGCTAAACAAGCTATGCAAAATGTACAGAGACAGATGTTTAGAAAATTTATCAAAGAATTGAGACAGTTTTATAAATACATCTACGTCTGCGAATAATACCACTTTTAGTCAGTAATAACTCATTTGCTAAATCTAAAACCCCTGGTCCTCAAAACTGAGATCGAGGCAAGAGAGGGCAACACTTGAGACAAAATTGAATGATAAAACATTAACGACTTTGTTAATCAGGTGATGTGGATCCCGAAACCAGTGTTCTTTGCATTGTATAATTTGCGAATGGCACTGTTTGAGGATTTAGAATTTGCCATTTAGTTTAGGCTCAATTATAACCACTCTGTTGACACTGGCACATATTGTTTCGTAAAAATGAAGAGTTACCTTTGCCTGTCTTTTCGTTTAACAACGTCAAAATCAGTCACATGGAACATTCTAAATTTAAAAGTTGGACACATACCCATTGTTATGTGAAATCGAAGATGACTGAGTTGGACCACTTTGTTCTCCTAATTATAAATTTATCTGCTATTAGCTCAACTCAATGTCAATACAAAAATTGCCGCAATTCATGACAGTGATATTGCTTTAAGATTGGAGGAGAAATGGAGACTGCTCACTTATTTATTCCAATTTTTCTGCACAACGGAAGGAAATGTGATCAGTGATGCTATCAGATTTTCCTTAAACATGTGTTATTAGAAAACTGGAATAAAGACAACTTTCACATAAAACAAGCAATTTTTCTCAAAATTAAATAATACATATTCAACTTGTTTTTACCTTTGTTATGTCAAGGCTACAACCAATTGAATATCACTCAGAAACACGTTTTCATCTCAAATATTAGAAAAGTGGCAATTGGACCAATTGCTATGTAGAGAAGGACTGATCAATATGATCCTCATCGTTGTATACTGTATTTTGCTGCAGTTTGAGAATCGATTGATTGAAGTCGAATTTTGGTAACGGGAATTGACATTAAAAAACTCTTGCGTAAACCAAAAGCTCAAAATGCGAAAATGTGAGAACTTTTTGAAACCACTACTCTCTCAATTTGCCCACTTTTGGCAATTGTTTCCAACTAATACATTTTTCAAAAAAATCTACAATGAGCGAAGTCATGCTAATCAATATGTAAAACCATTTAAGAATCCGAAGGGTCAAATATCAAAATGCCAAATTTTGTTGGAACGAAGAGTATGTCTACCCTCCTTTAATAAAGTTGCAGTCTGAGGTAAAACCATCGATACTAGTTTTGTTTCTCCAAAATCATGCATGGTCTTATGTGTAGGTGCTTTTACTATTTCATTTATTTCACTGAGAATGGAGAAACAAAATGCCAGAAAAAGTTTGTACATAAGCATAGTTACGAAATTATTGAAAATTTTGCAGTGGCATTGATGATGTGAAGACGAAGCCTCTACATGTTCACAAATCTTAGTTTCATCGTCACTTCACTTGACCTTAACTTCATTACCTCCTATGCAATAAATGGTCATCCGCATTGATTTCACTCTAAATTAACTCTCTTTCTCAATTATTGCTAAACGAGTAAATGGGCACTATTTGGCATTAATCCATGGTGTGCCTTCTGGTTCATCAATATGAGCTCAAATACTATTAGTTATAATTTTGGTATAATATTCAAATGTTAAATTTTTCCCTTTGTCTTACCCTTTTGTGCAACCATCGCAATAGCTTTGGGAGAGTTGGAAGATGGAAGATAAATGCACACAAAAATCAATTAACCACAAAGTAAACATTAATTTTGACCTTGAAACACCCAAACAGATCAATCGCGCATTAGTAATGATGAAAACCGGACATAATTGATGAAAATGTCAATTAGGCACAAATCAACTGAAATTAGGACATTGAATTAAAAAAAAACAGACCAACCGAGCAAGTTTAATATAATAAGAGTTGGAATATGTTATGGGAATTCTATTTCCTCAGAGAAAAGCACTCAATCTGTACTGACCCTCAATAAAACAATGTTTCGTCTTTGACAAAAGACCTTGCAGCTCTTAATTAAACCGAGAACTGTAAGTTTAGTAGAATTTTGGTGGAAATAAACAGACCTGTAACAGTTCTATTTGCCACTGCCCATCTCTCTTTATATTCTTATATCCAGCTCAAGCACTCAATTTCTGGCGAATTTCGAAAAAAATAAGTTATCATTTTGAAATAACGTCTTTCCCTTGCTTTCCAAGTATTAGCTATCTTGTCAAAACGTTGATCTTTTATTTTTAGTAATATGAGGAATATCAAACGCATAAAGCTCATTAGTATGTTATCTATATTCATTAGGCAAAATTATCATAAAATAAAGCCCCACAGAATTTAAATACTCATCGAAGATATACATCTGATTACTGAAGTGCAAACAATCTGGTTCTCTTCCGATGAGAAGACCTTCTACTATGATGAAAAGTACCATACACGGACTAAAATTGCATAAATTGTTATGGTTTTTGAATGTGTGCTCTGGGACAGGCCTAACATACTGCTGCTCGGTATTCCCTGCAAACCGAAAAATCATTCCAACGAGTCTTGTCATCTCATGAGCAATAAATTAATTGTTATTATTTCAACCCAATGAGGTCAGACCGAGATAGGAAACACTTGTATGTCTTTAATGAGCAATCTTTGGTCATTTATTCTGTGCCATCGATTCATTTAATTTCTGCACTGCCAAATTTTATTTTGTTCTTTACACACAATTACTCCTATGTGGCTCTATGGTTTATTGACCAAATTTCCATTTCTGTTTCCCTTAGGAACATCGGAAATTTAGCTGCCCTTAATTCTTTTCATGATCTGAGCTCCGTCGACTCTGTGCCTCCACGGTATCTCCACAAACTTGTCCCGCGACTGGTGTTCTTCTATCTTCAACTACCGCATACATCTACGTTTTCATTGCTGCAGTTATGGTTCAACAGCGACAGAAACCGAAACAACACCAGTTTGTTGTCCTTGCCGCTGCAGAACAAACCGCAACTGTCCAATAAGAGCACTGAGCAGCTGACTCTAATCAAGAAACCGTCAGCCTATCAAACTGTCCCTTCAATGGACACTTATTGTTGTCGCACCAAATCCAAAGAATATAGCTACTTCTGTTTATAGAAATATCACCGTCCACACTGCTAAATGACCAAGGGGATCATTTCTTCCATTTATATTGGAAAGACTGAGTAAAATTCAAGATAAAGAAAAGCTATTGATCCCATTTCCTTTTCAACAACAAGAAATAGGAGATGGCTGCCTTTCAATTGTTTAGAAAAAATGAATTCACTGGAGGATTAAGGCCCTAGAGCGCAATATAGTGTAGAAAAACTACAAATTTCTGAGAGGCCGTTCGTTGCCATGAGAACATATTTAAAAACAATGAATGAAATTATATTAGACGTCTCACAAGAGACAATGGTGATGCTCTTCTTCCCACAATTTACATTATTGAATAAAATTAATCGTTCATTTAAACTAGCAAATTTATTTCTAACAATTTTTCCTTCCAATCGTATTCATTTCCTTGGAATTATGGTTGCCACACGAACATGGAAGCAATACAAAAATGTAGTGGTTGAGTTGGCCAATATGGTAACTTCGTTACTTTTAGCTGGGAAATGAGAGCAATTATCCAGTCGATTGATTTTATTTGTCATTGGCTAATTATTCTCATTGCACACGTTTTTTCTTAAAGAAAAATAACGCAGGGTTGTAACTTTTATAAATACAATTTTTAGCAAATTACACCCTTTCAAATAATTTTTAAAAAAGTATTTTAATTCACGAAATTCATCATTCGCTAAATAAATCTGCTTCCTTTAATAGAATGGGTAATTTTGCCAGTCATTAGATCTTATCTTTCAACAGAAATTCATTTTTCTT